AAACGAGGTGTGTGTGTGTGTGTGTGTGTATATATATATATATATATATATATATACACACACACACACATTAATATGTACATAACATTATATAACATTATATATATATATATAGTACTGTAATGTTATATTTATGAAATTGTCATAAACCGTCACAGACCTGTATTTTGATAAAACTTATCAAAGCAACAGTTGTTTAGATTATAAATATCTGACTTTGTGACTTTCTAATCTAATATTTTAATTAGTTATTTTTATGCAGCTGTGAATAGTAATTAAACAATAAATATTAGTTCACTGTCATTTTAGTTTGTTTCAAGTCAAATATCAAATATAACATGTCTGAAAACAGTTGTGCAGTTTCAGCTTTTACAGTGTAAGTTTACCTGTCGAGCATTTGTCTGTGGCAAATAAAGCTTCTTCTGCTGCTGTCTAACATCCGTCTCTGCTTCACAGCTTTCTTCTCCACATCATGGCCTCTCGTAAGAAGGTGCTGCTCAAAGTGATCATCCTAGGGGATTCTGGGTAAGTGTTTGTGCAACATCTTTGTAGTATCCGTGCCGTTTAGATAAGTCGGCGCTGTCGTATTCACGCAGTGACACTTTGTCCTCTGTCATGCATATTTCAAGCAGCTGAACATATGTAAACATAACTGGCTTGACATGACTCAAGGACTCCCCTGACTTCCCATCATAGGTGTGGCTGGAATCTGCTCGGTCCTCTGTGAAGAATGTTATCAAGACTTAAAGCTATGCAGCTCAAAGATGATGATATCAGTTAAAGCATTGCTCAATACATTGCCTGTTGAATGCATTTGTCCCGTTTGTCTTTGACAGAGTTGGGAAGACCTCTTTGATGAACCAGTATGTGAATAATAAGTTCAGTAATCAGTATAAGGCCACAATCGGAGCCGACTTCCTGACTAAGGAGGTGATGTATTAAAATAGAAAAGTTTTTTTTTTTTTTTTTTATAATATTTCACAATATTACTGTTTGTACTGTATTCGTGATCAAATAAATGCAGCCTTGGTGAGCAGAAGAGACTTCAAAAACATGACAAAACCCCAAACTTTTGAATGAAAGTGTTATTCATGTATGGGTGAGTATCATAAAGAAATGTTTGGGGCATTTAAAAATGAAAATTAAAATTTTAATAAAAAAAAATTAAATAAAATAAAAAGATTAATAATCAATCAAATTAATTTAAAAATAATTTAAAAAAAAATACAGATGTTTTATTATTATTACTTTTATTTATTATATTATTCTTTTTCATTTTACTTGTGTAGTTTAATTTGTATGGTTTAAAGCAGCTTTATAGAAAATATGAAAAATTAGAGAAAAAATTATTGTATAATTTATGGAAATTTTTATGCCAATTGTAATCTTTAAATAAATAATTCTTCCTTTGATTTTGGAGTGAAAAGGCCTAATATTTCTTAAAAATTAACTTTATGTCAGATCCACTCTTATATGCCTATAGTAGCAGTGATTTATCAATTAAATGAATTGCTTGGAAAGTGCTCAGAAATGAATAAGAGGCCAGTGTGCTGTGAAGCTGACGCCGTCATTTCCTGAACAACCATTATTTTGTGAACAATTCCTCACAGCATGAATCATCTCTGGTCATGTGACACGATGAAACGCTGCATAATAAGCAACACGGTCATCTCACAAATATGAAGCCTCTGTAGTTACTCCTAGCTAATGGGTGGGATCTCATCTCATTCTGACGTCAAAGTTCTTCTGCTGATCATGTGAAATAAATAAGTCACATTTAGTTTGACGTTGGTAAACCCCTGGTATTTTGCCAGTCAGCACAGATTCATGTTGTGTTTACTTGTCAGCCATGTTGTAACCTGTATGACTGGTCATGTGATGTGGATCCCACATGCCCAGACAAGCAGTACTTGGGAAGCTATTCCTGAAAAGTAATTTGTTAGAAAATACTAGTTGTTATTTCTGTATTGTAACAGCTGTAGTTATTCTATCTGAGCAGGTACTCAGTGTTGGGGAAAGTTACTTTTAAAAGTAATGCATTACAATATCGCGTTACTCCCTTAAAGTAACTAACTACGTTACTTATGGAAAGTAATGGGTTACGTTACTTTTGCATTACTTTTCAAATCTGGGCTGGGCTTGCTTGTTTGTTGCTGGTCCCCACTGACTTCCATAATACATGGAAGTCGATGGGGACCAGCAACTGTTTGGTGACTAAATAATGACCGAATTTTAATTTTTGGGTGAACTATCCCATTAATAAAGGCAAACAATATAATGGCAAAAAAGAAAGTATTGTTGAGCAAAGACTTATTTACTGTAAATAACTGCATTTTCGTCTTTCAGATTTGGGACACGGCGGGTCAGGAGCGCTTTCAGTCTCTGGGCGTGGCGTTCTACAGAGGGGCGGACTGCTGCGTGCTGGTTTACGACGTCACGGCACCAACTACATTCAAGACTATGGACAGCTGGAGGGACGAGTTTCTCATTCAGGCCAGTCCTCGTGACCCGGAGAACTTCCCCTTTGTTGTGCTGGGCAACAAAATCGACCTGGAGAACCGGCAGGTCAGTCTGCAGACTGGAACATCTTGGTTTTAAAGGGTTTAAATTCGTAGAACGACTGCATGAGCGGTGTGTTTTCAATGGTTGATATAATATAATGAGATGTGCACTATACCATTCAAAAGTTGGGGGTCGGTAACTTCTTTCAAAATCATAAATGATAATAATAATAATAATTCCAAACTTTTGAATGCTAGTGTAATTCCTATATGGAATATTCCTAAATCTGTAAGTAAATGTCCTTGGTCATAATTTACCCCAAAATTAAAAAAAAAAAATGAAAATATGAAAATGAGCAAAAAGATTTGTTTTAAATAAATGAATACTTCTATGCAGCAGGGATTCTTTGATTTGTTCAAAAGTGACAGTAAAGACTATTTCAAATAAACACGGTTCTTTTAAACTTTCTATTCATCAAAGAATCCTTAAAAAAGCGTAACAGTTTCCAAAAAAAAAGCAGCAGCACAGCTGTTTTCAACATTGATAATAATCAGAAATGTTTCTTGAACAGCAAATCAGCATATTAGAATGATTTCTGAAGGATCATGTGAAACCCAAAATTGTAATGGTAGTCTATGTGAAGGACCCTTATTGGCCAATGATCTCATAAATAGGCAAATAGCCAGAATTAGAACTGGGAACATTGTCTATCAAGAGAATATCAAGTGACTTAAAAAAAAATAATATAAGCCATGTTGTAATTCATCATTTCATCCCCAGATCCTTTGTATTTTGTGCAGGTGACGACAAAGCGAGCTCAAGCGTGGTGTCAGAGTAAGAACAACATCCCCTATTTTGAGACCAGTGCCAAAGAAGCCATTAACGTGGACCAGGCCTTCCAAACTATCGCTCGCAATGCACTCAAACAGGTACAGGAAGCTGTGAATACCTGTCTTTCAGAAATACGATTCAACAAAATCAAACTGTTACAAATATGTCCCTTTTAATAAGCTTACTCACCAGCCACACACCAGATGGCCTTTATAGATACTGTTTGATATCAGATGAAAAATAATCTGGCAATAATCAGTAATTTATTGCCTTGTTAAAAAGATAGTTCACCAAAAAAAAGGAAAATTGTGTCTTGATACAATTTACTCACCAAACCTATAAACTTTCTTCTATAGAACACAAAAGGAAACATTTAGTAGAATGTTCATGCTGCTCTTTTCAGTACAAAAGACTCATTTGTGAATATTCAGATATGCTGTATGAAACGGATGTAATGTCCGTGATGTTAGAGATTCAGAATATTAGACTTAAACATGGGTCGCGGAAGCGGGGGGCCCGCCCGGGTTACTTTTGAGGTCTGGTACAAATATGACATGGGCTAGAAAAATACATATGAGCCTTATATAGCCTATGTATGCACGTTTAATCATTAAAAGATCGCGATCTTGATTCAAACACGCGCGATCTTATTCCTAAATGACGGTGATTCTGCTATGTCTATTAAACCTTTGAAATCCCAATCACATCGGAATATTTAAAATGCTTTTGCGCAGCCGCTGATCCAGAGAGAGCAGTGCTCATCATGTAAAGCTTTGTTTGAAACAGCTTCACAAACAGTCTACTTACACAGTAGGCTACATTTCTGTGTTGCAAACATTAAATAATAACGAAAGTATTGTAGACTCTGATGTTGCGGGAGCCGCGATCAAAATGGGTCTTTGAAAGTAATGATACGCTGCAAATAATGATTGTATATGTTACATTATTCCAGTAGGTGGCGACTGGCAAACAGTGAGTGTTAAATGTATTTGATGTCTAAATCATTCATTCAAGAGATTCAAAACGAAACAAGTCTTCATTTATTTAAAATGATTTTTGTTTAACATAATTAGGCTAATTCGTTTAAATTAATAAATATTTTTAAATAGACTCATTTACTATAACATTAATAAAACATTGTCAGAAACTCAAGTAAATTACATATTTCGTTTGGTTGTCTGTTCTGTTTTCAGAATCGTGGGAGAAGCATAGCTTAAAAATACATAGGCTAATATATGTGGCAACTAACTAATACCATTAGTAGGTAATATATTTATTATTTTATAGGTAATATTACTACTGTGGAGGGCGGTCCTTTTGGTTCGTTCCGCGATCCTTGGACTTAAATATTGGTATTTTTATCATGCAAAGCCATTTTATGACTTCAAAAAAATTGAACATAGTGAAGTATTAATACTATATGATAATAATATGAAAATAAGTCATAGGAATTATTTTTATGTGACTTGTCCTTTCTTGGATCATTTGAGCCACTGCTTTCATTGTATGGACAAATTTAACATGAACATTCGGCAAAATTTCTTCTTTTTTGTTTTATGTAAAAAAGAAAGTCAGTTTTTGAATGGCATGGGTGAGTAAACAATGCCATAGAAGAACAATTTTCGGTTCCCCAAAGAACCTTTCTGAACAATTTTTAAAATAACTATTTTTTTTCTCAGTTTGAAGAACATTTTGAAAATCTAGATAAACTTGTCCACTGTTAAGAACCTTTTGTGGAATGAAAACATTCTAAACTTTTAAAAATAAATAAAGGTTCCAAAAGTGATGCCACTGAAGAGCCAATTTAGAACCTTTAAGTTAACCATTTTTTTCTTCGTCTGAAAAACTTTGTAATAATCTGAAGAACCTTTTTCCACTATAAAAAAACCTTTTGTTCAATGGAAAGGTTGCATGAATGGTAAAGTTTCTTCATGGAAGGAACCATCAATGCCAATAAAGAACCTTCATTTTTAAGAATGTATTTAACTGGCTGCGTTTTGTCGTTAAATAAACACTAAATCTGAAATGAATTGAACTTTCAGGAGTCGGTGGAGACGTATGACTTCCCTGACCAGATTAAACTAACAGACAGACCTGTGTCTAGCAGTGATGGCTGCAGCTGCTGAAGGAAAGACCAAACTGGGGATGGGAAGAGAAAGAGCCAACATGGGAAAGGGAGAAAGCGAGATGGAAAAGATCCAGGCCTGTTATTCTAGCATCCATCCTCCCCTTTTCCTCCTTGAAAACCTCCAGGGTATCAAATGCCACGTGTGAAAGCTGAACATCCATTTTCTTGCTGAACTCCAAGTAAACGTGTGGTATGATAAACTATCAAGGAACAGGAAGACCAATGTGTTGCGTATCCTCTGACATTGCATTTATTACGAGTCCTGCTATCACTACAGCTGTCCCGAGAATTTCTGCTGAGCAATTTGATTTTCTTTTCTCAGAAATGATTCTTTGGTCTGCTAGTTCGTTGTGCCTTTTTAATTCTTACTATTGGTTATTGATATCAATGTTTCACGCCTATGCTGAATGAATATTCATAAAAAAAGACATATGTAATAGGGCTGGGAAATATAATAATATGAATAAAATGTTTTATCTGCCATTTAAAATCAACCATTTGTTTACACATTTTTTTTACACCATAGCTTTCTAACAAAGACAAAGTAGTCTGTCTGTGGGGATCCACTGAGGAAGGATAAATTAGAGAGGCTGACGGTGAGTCTATTATAAAGCCAAGACACAATAAGCGTCAGTAATAATAATATCACAGTGTTTCCCACAGGATTTTGAGAGACTAAGGTGGGTGAACATCTATGAGGGTCCAGGGGCATGTTTCTCTATTTTGTACATTTTAAAGTTAAATGCATCAATCTGGTGCCCTCTGAGAGCAAAATTAAGACTGAAACCTGTTTTTAGTTGTGGTTATCTCAAGGACGGATAAATATATTGTAATACAACTGTAAAAAAAAAAAAAAAAAAAAAAGAGTTGGGAGTTCTTCAGATCAGTTAAATTATTTGATCACTCAAAAATGACTATGGAAGTCCCCGTTTCACATCATTTCAAATGTTTTAAAATTTAAAAAGTAGGTAATTATTGTTTTTTTTTATTAGTGTGCGCATAAAAATGATTAAATATGATTTTTACCTGTGTCTATGTAGGAAAAAGGTGTGGAAAATATGCCTCGATTTTTTTAAAACTAGATTTTTACTGTATTTTTTACTTCAGAAAAAATTGCTGTTTGTTTGAAATTATAGTTCCTCTAAATAAATAAATCTAGGGCAAATGACTGTTGTCAAAAGATAAAAATAACAATAATATATGATTTCTTCACTCATCTCCCAGCCCTACTATGTAACGTCATGAATTGAACATTTTTTTAAAGGGGTCATATGATGCTGCTAAAAAGAACATTAAGGCGTGGCTGACTCTTTTATAAAGAATATCTATTTGAGACTTTAGTCTTTGCAACTTTACAGATCTTCTTTATGCACCAAGAGCTTGTAACACTCCAAAGAGAAAGGAAAAATTGAAATCGCATCATATAACCCCTTTAATATGGATGTGATAACTGCATTACCTTGAACATAAGGGTACTTAGATTTTCTAGGTTGACTTCAACATTAAAGCTGAAATCATTTTAGTCTTAGTTGGACTGCAAGTACTTCTGAAAATGTTTTAAGCCACTTAGTTGTCTCGGTAACATATTTCACTCACACCAGTTATAATGGTTTACAAAACATGTGCGTTTTTATAGCTGTTGAGCATGTCGGTGTGTTTCATGAAGAGGTCATGTATTAATTAATCAGGTTAGAAGCACACTAATGGTGTTAGGTCATGCTTAACTCAGTGTTTTGATTTGCCTTTGGACATTTATATGCTATGCTTGTATTCATTAATATATATCCATACTCAACTCAAGAGCTCCTCACTTTTATATGCCAAAAAGGAAAAAAATGTAGGCATAATTTTTATTTTGGCCAAATGTAAGAATGACACCAAAACCAAAAAAATAAAAATAAAAAATAAAGTTGCATTTACAACCAAGCCTGGCTGTTAATTCCACATTAAAAAAAAAAAAAAAAAAAGATCAAGCTTATCAAGAACACTTTTTATTGTCTCTCAATAATTTGCACACAATATTTACAAAGTTGCACTAAAAGCACCACTGGTTTCCTCTTGTAGATCAGAGAAGCCCCTTCAAGTCCACATGAAACATCTCACTCCCTGACCGTGGCTCTTCCACTGTTTCCATCAGTCTAGTGTGTTTTAGTCCATGTATGAGGTATCCATGCCTTCTGTCTCTGGATGCAGCAGACGGCTGGCCAGACGCTCAATGTCATCCAGACTCAGCTGTCTGAGCGAGCGCTCATAATCCTGACAACAAGAAAAGATGACGTTAACCTTGGTTCCTATTACCTATTATTTATGACATACAAAAAGATGTTCCACTATTCTAATCATGACCAATGATTTTATAATACTTTTACAGTGTTCATTTCTAATGCATCTAACAAATTTAATATTGTTACTTGATTCTGCTTTCTACAAGACTGATGAAATCGTAAGCAGTGTTGTTATTGTTCACAAAAGCTATTAAAAAACCTTTTCGTTAAATGTAGAGATGCACCGATCGACCGGCCAGGAACCGGAATCAGCCGATTTTCCGGTTTTCCGAGCCGGTCTGTTTTGATGTCTCAGATACGCTCACATCTGCATGTAAGCATGTCGCCGACTCGCCGGCATGGAAGTTCTTCACTGTGAGTGAAGAAGACACAAAGTTCGCAATCTGCAATACATGTAGGGCCAAAGTAAACCGTGGGGGAACCACAGGGCTCGAATAATGCTTGTCCAGGACTAGGGGTGTGCGATATAAATCGTCTGCGATAACAGCGTAATTGTTGTTTTAACGATGTGTGATTTGAGATTATCGAGTATATTACCAAAACCAAACAAAACACACAGTGCATGCATACATTACTTGATGAAGTAGTGCGAGTGCGCATTTACAGTGCGTTCTTTCACTGCATGATTCAGTCTATTAAAATGCGTTTAGAATGAACACACATTCAAGATATGGGGGCAGAAAATGTGTATTTATATCATTTCATATAGTTAATCAATATCACATGGAGATTGCTGTTTTTTTCTTGTGATATTGATTTTATACAACAGTTCAATAAACGAGAAGTCAATATTAAGATTTACGTTTTAGACACCATATTGCCTGTTTTTGCTCTATTTCGTGAACAAAAATAATTTCAAACACAGCCATAATACTGTCTCATGTCTCTGAGCAACATGACAGAGTTTCGTTCCTGAATGAATCAACCGTTTGAATGATTCTGTACTCTTCTTGTCAGTCAGCTCGACTCCCTCTCCTCACTGGATAAATTAAATCTGATCTGTGATGCAACTGTCGTTCAACTGCATTGAGCAGCCGCGTTTAGTTTTTAATTGTAGTGTCTGTTCTTTTACTGAACTAAATTATTTTTATTACTATAAAAATCAAAACGACGGTGGGGGTCGGTGCCGCAGTGGGCAAGTGACGTAACCGGTGTTGCGGCTTAACACCGGTATCACCGTCAGCACTGTCTATCGCGGCAAGCCTAGCGATATATATCGTCTGCAATAATATCGTAATTGTTGTTTTAACGATATGCGATTTTGACTTTATCGAGTATTTAGCAAAACACATTCAAAACACACCTACAGAGTGCATGCATTCATTACGTGAAGTCTAGACTAGTGCGCGTGCGTAGAGTGTGTTCTTTCAGTGCACTTTCACTATGTTTAGAATGATCACAAAATTAAAGACATGGGAGCAGAAAATGTATATAGGCTATTTATACCACTTCAACGTTTTGCGTCTGAGCAACATGACTGTGTTTCGTTCCTGAATGAATCAACCATTTCAAGGATTCGGTTCAATCGCTATGACTCACTTATTAACAGTGACTTGCTGCCACCTATGGGCGGTTTCATTTTCACATTTAAAGGGGTCCTATTATGCTTTTTCACCTTTAGTTAGTCTGTAATGTTGCTGTCTGAGCATAAAAAAGATCTGCGAAGTTACAAAGCTCAAAG